GGAGGAGAGAGAGACAGAGAGGGGGGAGGGAGGGAGGGAGGGAGGGAGAGAGGGAGAGAGAGAGAGGTCAGCTGATAGATCGATGTGAATATTTTCTAGGCGGCCTTCTCGAGGATTGACCGAAATAACCGGGCAGCGTGCTTTACGGCTTTTGTGCAAAGGATGATACCCGAGAACGACGGTTAACCCCTTCCGAATGGTTAACGGCACCAGTCCCTCTGTCTTCGTTCCCTATCTTTGCGTTTTCTCTTTCCTTCACGCTGCGAAGTTCTTCCTTCCGGATTTCTCGCTATAGTACCCGGATTTTGACTTTAAAACCTTCCGACGTTTATTTTTAAGTCTACGGCACTTCGTTATATCTCGCGTCTTTGTCGCCTGCCTTCTTTCCGTGATTTTCTTGCTCCTTCTATTTTTCACCTCTAAGCTCGTTCATCCAATACATGCTTTATGTTTCCATTTATTTGAAAAAATTCTCAAGTGTTGAAATGCGCAACGACATGATATGATGAACTTAATATTTTTTATATTCTTTTTACTCGTATATTTCATTAACCTAAATTATTTTAATTACATATGCATGTCTCTGTTTTAATTTTTTAATTAATTTATATTATTAATTATATTTATCTTCCTGCAATTAACGTAATTACTACATCTATCTTATTAAATTTTTCAGTCTATCGAAATCTTATCTACTGAATCTTCCAAACCTTTCGTGATAAGTACACACAGTCATTTTGTATATGTATATTTTCCCAATCTTCCAAATGTTTTGTTTCCTACGTCAGTGACGTAGTTTATAAGGGAGTTGTGAGAGCGGCGTCTATAAACCGATCGATAGCATGAGTTAATGCGAAACGCTTTAATGTTGGTTAACCATAGCCAAATGAAAGCCGATCTCGTCGGATGGTGAACCTCCGAGTCTCGGTCAAGCCCTTCAACGAAGAGTTTCCGAAACTCTTGATTCATCCGCGTACTCATTACGACCTCAGTCCTATTTTAAATAAACGCAAGGGGATTAGTAACGTCGGAACATAAACACCGCTATTTCTCTAACCAACCGTAATCTCTAACCATTCATATTCTTCTAGAATAGTTCAACGAAAGCATTGACGCAACATCATCGTTTGTCAACGGACATTTTATGTTCTTTAGCAGATTTTAAAATATTTATTGATAAATACAGCGTAAGTTATTTAGTCCACAATTAATTTTGACACAATGCCAATCTATATATATATATATATATATATATATATATATATATATATATATATATATATATATATATATATATATGATTGATAGACCCACTTTTTTATTTTTTGAATGTAGACTTGTAATTAACTTAATCTGATGATGATAATGTAAAAATTATATTTTTTCCAGTTAATGGTTAAACACTAAATTGATGGGTTCATAATACGTAACTTACCACTACGAAACCATCAGTTTAGTGATTAATTATAGCTACAAAAACACAATTTTTACATTGTCATCAGGTTAAATGAGGTCAAATCTAAACCACAAGTTAACCAGAAAATTAAACTTGGCGATAATAAAAATAAAAATTGATCTTTCTATGACTGAATGCGATGTCCAATTTTCCAAATTCATATTAAATACATATGTTTACATATTTATCGTAAACAGAAAAATATCTCTAAATTTCAGTGTGCAGAATATTCCGTTTCGACAATAGCATAATACGTAATTTTACGAGAGAAAGAGA